TGTTATTACATAAGCCAAAGAATTTTCTGTCTAAAGGAATGCTTTATGTCCCATACACCAACAACTTCAGACAGACAGAGATCACCTCTGTCATACATGTGACTGTAGCCTTTTAGAAAAGTTAATAACCAGGTGCTGGAGTTTTCATTTCAGAGTTTTTGTTCCCCTCTTGCACCACCTTATTAGGTACTGCATGGCATTCTTATAACCATGACGTCAGAGGCGGAAAAGTTTATGAACTGTCTGCATTGTTAGCCCTCTGATAAGCTCACACTGAAATGGAAGTGTAGACTTTACATTATTCGCTCTAGACTGATTAGTCATCGAGCCCCTCAGTGAGTGTATGTTCTGTCTGCTTTCAGCAATGAAACAGCCTGAAGCATTCAAGTCACCTGTTATAACCCTAGCACTCACTTGTTTCACATCAAATCGGGAGTCCTGCGCTCTGACTTTTTTTTTTTTTTTTTTGTTGCCACTTTCTTCGTTTAAAATCACTCAGCATTAACTTTACATGGTTATTTGGTTACAAGTTGTATTAATGTACAGCGGCACCGCGTTAAAGTGGACCTCTGTTCGGGGGATTTGGATTCAGGGAGGCAACAAAAGAGAAGGGAAGGTCATGCTTGTAGCATTAACACACCTTTGTCTGTAAATGTTAACCTCGGCTTAACAGGCAGGAAACTGGAATTCAAAGAATTACAATGAGGGGCTGGGAGTTTTTTTTTTTTTCTGGAATTCCAGCCATTTTTCTTTTAGCCACAACATTAGTAACCTGTTCACGCACAAGTGTCTGACCTAATGTAATCCAATGAGGATCACACAGTCTCTACACTCTTTGTAAATAATCTTGCTGATGACTTTCATAGAAAAACTGCTGTGAATTATTGAGGTTAAGAAGCTGACTGAAATGTAATACTATACTGTCTGTCTAACCTTGACTTGGTTAATGGTTATGTCTGTGAGTTAACAACTGTATTGACGTAGTTCTAAAACAAAGGAGAGTGTTATTGAGGAAGTATACTTGTGATGTGACATTGTGGTGTTTGAATGTGAAAATCCATGGCTGAGCTGAAATGGAAATTTTAGTCTGGACCATATATTTAACTGTACAAAACCGTCACCACAGCCATTCTGTTTAAGGTATGATTTAACAGGTCAGTCCACTGAGCTGTCAGGAAGGAAGGGCCATGAGAAATATTGTAGCATCTACTGATAGTCTGCATGTGAGCAGTTTATGAGACATGTGTAAATTGTAGCTACACAAAATACCCCGGCTTACACGTTCCCCCTCTAAACTGCATGAGTCTCTACATGCACATCAGTCACACACTGCGCCACCAACCATCACAGGTAAATTCTCAACCTGTCGGAAACACAATGTTTCTAAATGGCAATCAGTAATTGCATTGGTATCAATAAACCCTTATTAATTCCAAATACATGAAAAACATGAATTCATATTTGACAGCCTCAACCGATTGGTAGTTGCGCAGAAAACAGATGCTTCAAACTAGTGTGTACTGTTCACTGCCCCTTTTTTTTTTTTTTTTTAATAACAGTGGTTTCGTTTTATAGACCTTTCCCTGCAGTTATTGCCAAAACTTCACTGGCATTTGGGTTTAAAGGGATAAATTCCAAGATCTATTTTTCCTACCAATAAAGTTAATGGTAACAAATTGTTCTAAAGCAGCTGTTATCTGTCATGAGTCTCTTTTTCTGAAATCAAAATTGCTTGAATGTAACATCACATTTAGTTTAGTAAGTATGTTCATTTTCTCAAATTACTATCAAGGCAGTGGCTCTCAAAACACTGCAAAGGCACCAACAGTACAACCAGCAAATGCATACAAACCATAACAGCTTAAACACAGGAATGCACACTAAAGATATACTGAGATCACAATAAAATATAAGACGACAGTAAAAATAAACTGTATATGGATACTGTGTATGGAAAAACATACCAGGGACAATACAGTCTAGTCAAGCTTTATTTAAGTGAAAACTTGTAAATATGTTTTTAAAAAGGCAAAATTTGATACCAGACACTTGACAGTCCTCCACATCTGACAACTGGGAGGCACAGTAATGGGCATGGCCTTGCCACAGTGGCTACAGATCCCTCTGAGATTAGTGATAAATGTTTGCAGATGCTGAAGGAGCTCTGTGGCACTGAGCAAGACCAGACGCTCTGCTTTTACACTGTCTGCATGATAATGGTTGCTTACTTAGTATATTGAGAGAACAGCATCAAAATTGATGAAGTGCAGGAGTCACAGAGGATGCAAACTATTCTGCAGAACACAAGTCGTCTTTGTCCGGGGCGACAGGCAGAATGGAAAACCTTTGCACTGCACGACACAGGACCATGTACTCGGCTTATCTCAGACCTGCTTGTTGACCAGGTCATTTGCATTCCTCTGCACGGCCTGTTTCAACAGAGTCAGTGACTGGTTCACGGTGGCTGTTTTCCACCAAAACATGTGGTGTGTGGTATCAGCCACAGATAATGTCTGCCTGTAGAGCCTGTGTCTGAAGTGGTCAATCAAAGCTGTGGTAGGAGCTGACCTGATGCTGGAGTCAAGTGCATGTTCAAGTCTTAACATGTTCACTCTTTAGTGCAGCTCAGTTGTACCTATCTTGTTACACCACTTCAAATGTGCATATAGATAATGACTCTGAGCAATGGTATATTAACTAGTATGGAAACTGTGCAAGCATGGTGTTGATTTTTGGCTGTCTGTAGTCTACATTGTGCTGTTCCTCCCCCTCCCTTTTACTTGGCATTGATTGCAGTCTGCTGCACAGCAGCTTTATAATAGAGGGATATTGGGTGGGAGGAAGAGAAGGCGAGAGGAAGGGAGTTTCACATGCCAGATACAGAAAAACTCAAAACCAAAAGTTAAGACAGAAGCAGCAAAGGAAGCAGATGCCTCATTCTAATTCATAGTGGTGTAGAGAGTGTAGTAGCTTCCCATTGCACTCCTTTAACACCATCAACCCTGTGATTTGTCATGGAGCGTAAACAAAGTTTTCTCTAGTGGTCAGCTCCTATTTGCCAGCTCATCCATTTCTCCCAGTGAGGTTTTGCATGGGAACTGTTGTTGAGGCAGCCCAGTTTGGATTGTGGAGCTAGTAGTGCAGCGTGAACAAGACTCTCATGAGCACACTACTGACTCATGGAAAGTTGAAGGATGCCAAGAGGTGTCTGTGTGTGTGTGTTTGTGTTTTTGTTTGATTTTTCATGTGAAGCCCTTCATCCAGCTGCATGTCACACTTTTCTCAAGACTTAATAAATCACTAACTCTGGGCTCTCTGATGCTCTGATGTGAAATATTTTGTTCGTGTTATATAATTTATTCCAAGGAGAGGCGTAAACGACTGTATGTTCTCTATAAAACTGTATGCTTGTTAAAAGTGAATCAGTTAGATCGTAGCCTCTTCATTTACAAAATACATTTTGTCTACAGCATCAGGTTTGTGTTATCAGCTGTGGGCTGCTGTCTGTTGATGCACATCTAATGACAAAACATGTTAGGTTAAAGCTTGTCAACACTGGTGTATTTCAGGCTCATGACACAAGCTACATCTGTTGGCTATCAACACCAAATTATGCTCTTTATCCCAGTGTGGCAGTAGCACTCACTTTGAATGATTTCACTTAATATTTAGCTAAATGGTGGTTTATGCCTCGTTGAGTTCCATTTATGAGTCTGAAGTTAAATTACATTACAAAGCTCCATTTCTTTAGCTGAGCAAAATGGTTTTGACCTCTTAGGCCTGCAAATATTTAAGGAAATGGAGCTCTCTGCACAGTTGCCACTCAGTGCCCCATTCTCACACCACCATGACTTCATATATTTAGGAAAGGTTCCTGAGGAAAATTCCCCATCTGGCCAGGAAGGATGTGAAACTGAATATGGATTCCATTTCTCTTAAATTCAGACGTAGCTCAATTAAGACATATAAACAAAGCTCCTGTTCCCTTCCCCTGATTTTTTTTTTTTTTTTTCTTCCCATCATTTTTCCCTCTCTGTTTTTCCAAGGCTCAATCTTCAGCAGTCAGGAGAACAAGGGGAAATGGCTGGGTTTTCCATAGAATATGCAGTGTTGCAATTAGGCCATGTCAGTAATGATTTGAGCAAAGCCTTTTACTGTAAACCACTCCTCAGTGTCTCAGTCTTGGAGTAGAATCACAAAGCCCAGAGCTGTCTTTCATTGATTCTTGGATAGTAGTCTGTTTATTGTAGCTTGAACATTTGCAGAATTATATTTATCTGAAGTTGTCCCTAGACAGTGTCTTAATGCAGTCAATGCAGCCTTGCAGCTATGTTTCTACTTGTTGAGAGAAGACAACCATTGAGATGATTCAAAAGTGCATCTGGTTAGTAACATAACAGTAGTAGCATTATTGAAAAAAGTACATAAAACAGCAGATTTTTTTAAACAAAGTCCTTGTTCATCATGGTAACTAGGATAAAATACTACAAGTAAACTGAAACAGCTTTGTAGGAGAAGCGTAATACTCTGAACATTCCTCTTTTTAGAGTTTTATACCCTAAAAATTAGCTATGTGAATGCGTATTTCTACTGTTTACTTTTGGCATTTTCATCTCAAGCATCTCAAGTTAATTTAAGCCCTTTCGTGCAGTTGCAGAGTAGGCACTAGCAAAAGACAGTTGACAGGGTTGGTATGCAGATGTGTAAATAAGATTAATGACATTATTTTAGATAAAAAAGCATTATTTTAAATAAAAGGCACACATAGTAAGTAATAAAAAAAACTAAAATTAACCAAAAAAAAAAACCTAGTGTTTCAAAGAGATACTTGATCTAAAGTATTTTTTGAGTATGAGACGCTCAACCATTTCTGGTAGTCATAGGTTTGGAGTGTCTCAGGATGCCGAAGCCAGCTGGATATCAAAGTGTGCTGACTATTACTGCTGCTATACATTGTCAAATTCTGACACGTCTGCCTGTGTTTCTCTCACCTGTCCCAGAATCTCTTCAGTTGTCCTCGCCCCTCTTCACCAGTGAACATGACCAGGCAAACATTGACTTGGGCCCAGACTGTTACAGCCAGCTATGTGTGGAGCCACTGGACGGAGAGGGTGAACGTCCAGTGAGCCTGGTGTCCACCCTGTCCTCTGGCTCATCCCGCGATAGTCGCAGCCTTTTTGGAAGCACCATTGCTCTTCCTTCCTCTACCACCCCACCTATACCGTGCGAGGAGGACATAGACTTGGAGCTGAGCCCAGCTGAAGGTACCGGAGAGCAGGCTGGAGACCAGAGTCCCACCCTCACAAGCTCCAGGGTCCACTGGCAGGAACGGCTGGAGCCCAGGGTGATCGGCAACCAGTGGAACAATAACAACGCCGCCTCCAACAGGAAGGGAAGTGCTCAAATACGTCACATCCCTGCATTGCCTGTCGTCACAGACACCATGGCACCTAACCCAAAGTTGACCTATGTGGACCGTGTTGTCATGGAGATCATTGAGACAGAGCGCATGTATGTCAAGGACCTGCGCAGCATTGTGGAGGTGAGTGGATGTCAGGGTAATGCTGACTGTACTCAAATTTTATTTTCCGTTATAGTTGCTGTTTTTCACTTTCTGCCAAGTATTCACTGTGAGCCAATCATTGATGTTATAGAGAGTAAATCATCAGTATTCAGTGTATTTAAAGCACATGTTTGACTTGGATTAATGTGCAGCTATGACTTAATGTCTGCAGCACTCTAGGAGGAGGTGATTTACTGAATTTGGCCAGCCTGGAGCCAAAATAGGGGAATTGGGCTCAACAACAGTTGAGGGCAGATAATGGCTACTGTGTTCCAAGCAGCTGTTTGTGGCTACAAATGAGTCTGGTACTTGTAAAATATCCATTGGATTTTTCTTTTTCTTTTCATCACCAGGATCCATTCTGATTTCCTGCTTTCTAAACAAATCGGTCAGTTGACCAAAATGCATGCCTGACATCTGGCAGTTGTGTGCTTTGTTTATAGATTTCTAGTTCATAGAGATGAAGGCAGGGGAGTTTATGATCTGCTCATAGTGTTTTGTATAAACTATTCTGTATATTTACAGTGCAGTGAAAGTTTACAGCCTGTAGCCCAGGATTATGGACTGTGCTCATATGTGGAGTTCAAACACAGTCAAAACTGGGACCCAGTGCCGGTCTTTCATGGCAGGAAACTTGGGCTCTAAGATCTTATTCAAAGATAGTAAAAACCTCATCTCAGAGATGTGAAGCATGGAAAATAGAGGGATGATTTTACCACTCAACAGACCACTTATCTCTTATCACTTTTTCTACCTTTGTAGTCTGAAAACAACTTCCAGACTGAAACCTGGCTATCAATCTTCTGTGGTCTTGCGTAGAAACAGGAGCACTCTGCTGTCCAACAGTCTCGGCTGCACTGCTGGTAATGTCTTTAACACGTGAGGCATTTCTGAGAGTGACTGGCAGTAAACCAGCTAGCACCTCTCCTCACCTTGTCTCCGACTGCGCTGGCGTCTGGCAGTTGCTGTGGGAGGGAGCACTGCCCTCGTCGCAGCTTGAATAACGACTTGCTTCGGACAAACGCTTCCAGGACTTTAAACAATTTCAGTTGACAGGCACAGCAGCCCTGCCTGGTCTGGCCTCTGTCACACAGGCCCTGCAGAGAGCTCTAGCATAGCCTGATTTCTCAGGCCCTCCCAGCCAACACAAACACCTCCATCTTTGCACCAACGGGAGAATAACATAAATGAAAGCAGAGCAGTTGGCTTTTCCATACACTACACTGTGGGAACACAGTACAGTACAGATGTGTCCTTTTATGATTACAGTATGGCTTCAATCAAATAGATTCCATACAGCTCATTTTCATTTCACACCAAGCCATGGATCTGACAGAGATGTGTGAAACTCGTCTTTCATTTGGCATTGTTATTTCAGCAAACTAATTCAAAGCTTCCCCTTGATATTGACACTGAACTCTCTCACAACAGCTGTTGAAGTTATGTCCACTTTACCTTTAGATCTAGTTTACTCACTCTCAGATATCTCAGTCTTAACTGTCTATCAATGGAATACAGAGAACAGCTGTTTGACCCAGCTGGTCTTACATGTCTAAATACAACCTCAACACCTGGCCTGAACACACCCAGAGAAATTGTTTAGACAAGAATGTGGATCATGCTTATGGGATTCACAAAAAAAGCCAGTCCAACATGTCCCTTTAATAATTGATAAGAGTTTTTGTTGGTCCCACAAAAGGAAAAACAGCCTTGCTTATTCTTTACTAAAGCGCAGCCTGTGGCACTATAAGCTGGGGGACTCCATACATCGAATTAAATCTCTCACGCTATGCTAAAGGTCACGTGTGTATGGTGTAACACCAGTGGCGAGTTTTTCCATAGGAGACGATGAGACGCCCTGCTGACTGCATGTCAGCATTGCTCTCACTGCACTGGAATTCTTCATCCATGACCGACTGCAGTTCTTTCAGTAGTGCGATGTGATGACTCTACTCTTAATCTGGGCTGCCTGGCAGGCTTGCTATGTATGTGTGTGTTTGCAGCACATCATCTGGGAGGCAGGGTGTGTGTACAAGCTGTTTACTGGTAGAGTCTTCATACAGTCACCGAGTGTACGTGTGTTTGTCTCTCGTCAACTTACTCATCTACTTGTTTGGAGTTGTTTGTGTGCAGCTTACCAAGAAAGAGGGCAATCATCCAGATGTTGGCATATTTGGTTACTGTGTATTTTTATCTACTTCTGAATACCCCTGGGGTCTAGGGGGAGTTGGTTCCTGGGAGGGGAACAGGCTGTACTGATGCTATGGTCTGGGCGCAATAGAACCTCTTCCAGAATGTCACACTGGCCTCCAGTCAATGGAACAAATCCTTAAAAGGATCCTTTAAACATTATATAACTTGTGAATTAATGATCCTGCTTTTTTTTTTTTAACACAGAAAAGCCCTAAATATTTATTGTCTGTTTATGAACATTACATGACATTACATTACATGTCATGAGAGAATAGATAACTCATCATAGAGGATATAAGAATGATACAAGGGAAATTTTAGTTTCTCTATTGAATGCTCCCTCTACTGGTAAGAATGTGCAAGTGCCTGAATGATAGTCAGCCCTTAAGATGTCAACAAATATTGAAATGAGCTTATATATATTTTTTTTTCCAGGACTATTTGGCTCACATCATCGATATGAGCAACCTTCCCATACGGCCAGAACAAGTGTGTGCCCTGTTTGGAAACATAGAGGACATCTATGAGTTCAACAGGTACGTCATCACCCCAAATGTAAACCCACCAATCACCATGATTTCGTTTCTAGATATTTTTATCTTGTAGTTTAGCTTACAAGTCTTAAAAAAAAGTATAGTCAATTTATTGCATTATATTTGAAGAGACAATGTACAACGGAGTACATGGCAGAGCAGAGGACGCTGTGATCAGTCATTGGTGTAATTACTTCCTTATACAATTCCATTGGGCAAGGAATATTTTCATGCATATTGTTGTGTATGTAACATGTTATTCTGTCGTTCTAAAAAGGAATGTCAAGAAATTTCATTCACTGACTCAGAGTTTATGCAGGGAGGAACAATGGAGCAACGCACTCTAATGTAAACACTCTTGCAAATGGTGGTGCAGTTAGTTTTGCATTTAATCATCTTATGTCAGCAAGTGCTCATTGCTGCCCACGCTGCTTGACACACATTCCTCTTTCCTCTCACAGTGAGGAGCCTCCCTGGTAATGTCAAGGCTGTTGTACAGCTCTCAACCACAAATGGGGATGGTTTGAATCTTATTACTTTTTTAATAAAATTCTAGCCAGCTGTACAAGAGAGATCTTGACAGATTTTGGATCCAAAGGGTCATGTGTTGCCCTTCTCGGAGAGATGAAGCTTCTCTTCTCACACTGAGAGGTCGTGCCTTCTTTAAGTCAGCAATGAAGATAGCAATATTGACTTTTATTACTTTATAGTTTTGGTGGAGACATTTTTGTGCCATTCTGTGAATAGGTGCCACATGTTTATTTAATATTGCAACAGAGTTGTGCCAATTTGCAGGAGGCTGCCCACGGCAAACCAAATTTTTGTTGGGAGAGAGATTAGTATTTATAGTGTTTCTTTGGGAACATTTACACAAGAACAACAACAAATCCAGTCACCTCATTTACTCACCATACCAGGGATCATGTAAACCATCTTCTCTACAGTACAGTATGCTACTTTTCTGTAATTAAAACCCTTTCAAACCCAACAATTCTCACTACTCTGGGAGTCGCCATTAAACTCACATTTGATATGGAGATGAATTAATAAACGACATTGCTTTGACCCAAGAATTTTTATTTCTTTTTAACAATTAACCTTCTTCCAGCCGTCAATGTTGTTGACAAAGCAATCATGCAGTGTAAACAAATATTGACCTTCTGTCTGAAAACTCTCGACACCAATGTGTTTTTCATCGTGTCATTATGTCAACATGTTGACATATTTGCTTATAGTTGGTTTCAGTCAAGCCACACAGTCTTTGATCTAAATTATGGAATGAATTATGAATGATTCAGCTGAAAACTTTTCGTGTTTAGGTTTATTGTATTATGTAGGTATTTTTCCACAGTGACCTCTTTTCATATATGCTCCTTCAGTCATGCACATTTTACTGAGGTGATGTCACACTGTGTTAAGCATTAAAATACCATACAGTCCTCAGGTTTGGGTTTCCCTAGCTCAGAATAAAGCTTGTTTTTGATGGGACTGTGAGAACGGAGATTTTCAAGTCAAATGCATCTTCTTTCACGCTGAGTCTGAACATGACACAAGGTTCTTGTTTAACAGTGTATGCTGCCCTCTAGTGGAAGTATTTCTTAACAAATCCAATCTGACTCGAGGCAGAAATAGAAGTCAATACCGTAGAGAAAATATAAGCATTGATTTATTAACGGCAGCCACTAATCATTATTCCTTCCGTCTTTTCTTCCTTTTGTGGTCTACTTCTGTTTTTGTTTTCCTTCCTAGACACACATATTAGGTTAGTAAATCCATTAACACTGAACTTTCTGTTCTGCATTTCAGTGAACTGTTGCAGTCTTTGGACATGTGTGAGAACGACCCTGTGGCCATTGCTAGGTGCTTTGTAGACAAGGTGAGCATTACTATCTTCTTCACAACATTATCAGGACTTGAACACTGTTGATGTGTTTGTCTGCCTTGTGTTTCCTCAGAGTGAATACTTTGAAATCTACACTCAGTATTGCACCAATTATCCCAAGTAAGTAGCTAGGACAAATGCATGTTTTGCAACGTTTTGCTGTTGATATCAGATGTAACATGCTTGAATGAGCTGATAAATGTCATTGTCTGCTGTCCTCTAGCTCAGTGGCAGCCCTGACCGACTGCATGAGGAGTAAAACTTTAGCCAAGTTCTTCAGGGATCGACAGGCTGCTCTGAAGCGCTCCCTCCCTTTAGGCTCCTACTTGCTTAAGCCAGTTCAGAGGATCCTGAAATATCACCTGCTGCTGCAGGTACAGAACGTCCTCAATGGTCACATTGCTTCAACACAACCTTTTGTCAAAATGTAGTCTTTAGGCCTTTAGATTTATTCTACTTATTATAGTTATTAAGGAGTAGTTCACAGCCCTTCTGGATTATGATGAAGGAATGTCATTTTGTGACAGCTTGTTAACGCGCTGCACGATGCCTGTGAGTGCTGATAAACAGCTCAACCAAAGGGTGATTTTCCCTTTTCCAGTCCTTTAATTTGATTCATTATTAAGGGCCTAGAGGCTACAAGCTATTTAGGATTTTACAGGGTAAAAGCAACAATGGAAAAATCACAAAAAAATTGATATGGACACACATTTTTCTTTGTTTGAGGAAGCATTTAACTAGTTCCCTGTTGTGCCACCCCTTGTCAGAAGTTGTAACTGTCTCTGATCTCTTTTAAAGGAAATTGCAAAGCACTTTGACCCAGACGAGGAGGGCTATGAGGTAGTTCAAGAAGCCATAGACACCATGACAGGAGTGGCCTGGTACATCAACGATATGAAGAGGAAACACGAACATGCTGTTAGAGTGCAGGTCAGATAGAATGACCTCATATAAATGTCAACATCCTTTTAAAGATATGTATTTATGTCATTGTCACGTAGTGATTACATACTTTACAGTACATACTCAGTCAAGGTGAAATTGCAAGACTTTAGCTCCATTGTCCAGTGATACTGTAACTCTTTCTGCTCTTCTGTGGCTCTGGAGGGCCCAGTGTAATTTCTTTCATGTATTTACTCCATATATTTATTTTTGTCAGTAACTCTAGTCTTGCATAAATATGTATTCTAAAGATTCATGGCCATAACAGCTTTTTAGTGATTTCCTTGGTTTGAGTCACTGACTGAGTGGTCGGTTCACAGTTTTCTTTGTGCGAGTGTTGTATAAGAATTACAAATAAAAGCTGACACTGTGCTGGCATTTATATTCTTTCGTGCTGAAGGAACATGTCTGACAGTATGTGGATGCGGGTGTGTGCTTTCATGTGCATCTGCAGGAGATACAGTCTCTTCTGATCAACTGGAAGGGTCCTGACCTGACCACCTATGGAGAGCTGGTGCTGGAGGGCACCTTTCATGTCCTGAGGGCAAAGAACACCCGTACACTCTTCCTCTTCGAAAAGATGCTCCTCATTACCAAGAAAAGAGGGGAACACTATGTCTACAAGATCCACATCTTGGTGTGGTTTTTGACATTTTTCCATTGATTAGTGATTTAATAGTTTGAAAATATAGGTGTAGGAAAATGATGATATCTGAGTAAAGCAGAAAGCCTAACAAGATCACATCTTCTTTTAAATTACACAAGATTTATATCATAAAGACATACTTTTAATAAGGTAGCAAATTAAGTTGAGTGAAGCCTCAGTTACATCTCTTCATTCACTGTGGTTGCAGTGCTCTACCCTTATGCTACTTGACAGTGCCAAGGATCCCCTGCTCTTCAGTGTCATCCATTTCAAGCATCCCAAGCAACCCCATACAGTGCAGGTAAATGTGACCACCAGTAACTGTCAACTTTTTCTTCCTTCTGCGGCACAGTTACACAACACATATTATTGCATTTCCATCAGCTGCTCAGGAAAATCAGACAAACACTTGCTGTGGCCTGATTAAAAGATGTTTCATGTTAGTTTTATGTTTCAGAATACTGGGGAATACTAATACTAATATTAATAATAAAAACAAATTTGATCCCTGATTCTGATTCTAATACTATATTTTCTCGGATAACAAATCCATTTTTCTCAAACACTTGAGAGCCAGTGGTTTCCACTGTAGTCTCTACTCTGTATGCATGCATGTGTCTGGTGTATCTTTATTAATATGAATGACTTTCTAAATGACAAGTGCTTGTTGTTCAAGGCCAAGTCAGTAGAAGAGAAGCGTCTCTGGGCCCATCACATTAAGAGGCTCATTCTTGAGAACCACAACACCATCGTCCCCCAGAAGGTAAACAACATCATCCTTCAATCTGTTCTTTCTCCTTCAGCTGCTAAAGACCTGCCTTTTATTAAAAACACACCGTCTCTTTCTTTAAAGGCAAAAGAAGCCATCGTGGACAATTCAAACTGTAAGTGTTACCAGTAAAGTAACTTTTGTTATAGGGTTAGACCAATTTACCTGTTTCCATGGCAACCAAAGATGCTGCTTACAAAGGAGAAGGGTGCTTCATTCTCAGTGGAAAATATAGAATGCAGTTTAATTTACCAGGAAGATGTAGCCCATAACCCATCCATCTATGCAGAGAAAATTGTTTTGTAATTGCGGTTCTGAGTGTAATGACGTATCCTTCCACTGCCTAGATCCAGGGAAGTACCACTATAGTCCTGAGAGACTGAAGAAAGAGTCCTGCCAGATGGACGACTTCCATCTTGGAGGACGAAAGGGGAGAAGGAGATCGGGTAAAAGCCTCCCACCCCATCTCGTATCTGCAAAGTCACACACAAACATTGCTCCCTGTATCTGTTTTGCATAGTTATAGGGTGTAATGTTAAAAATATATATTTGTATTAAATATTGAATCATTAAATCAATAAATGTTAATGTTAAATATTGATATTAAAGAATAGTATTGTTAAACATATTTGTCACTTTTACCTCTAGTGAGTTGACCTTTTTCAATTTCTCCCTTTTTAGAGCCTGCAAAACAAATCATAAGGAGCACAAAAGGTTGGTACATGGTGGGGATTTGTGTATATCACTGGATGTTAGGGTGGGTGATCGATCCACATTGTGGGTGTTTTTCACTGGCCCTTCAGCCCCCTAACCAAGAGCTTTCCACATCTCCATTGCACTTCTGCTTTGTTCTCCCGCAAAGACACCTGGAAAACAGATCAAAAGACACACACACACACACACACACACACACACTCACTCCCATGCCACTGGCCTCACCCATAATGAAGTTAATTATATGGCACACTGGTCCAAGGCTTTGTCATACACAAGCTCTTTTCAATAGTCAGATTCAGCCTTACCCTCAGATCTGCACGTCTTCCTGCTCTCATCTATTCTAATTGGCCGTTATGAAAGAGAAAACCTCTCTTTTCTCATCCCCATTTCTCCTTTGCTCTCAGTGCAGATCAATTTTTCGAACCAATGTAATGAAAAACAATGATCATGTCAACCTTCCCATCCCGGTGAGGGAGTGGGTCATCACATCCTGGCTAATTGCATCACGTCCAGTTTGAGCCTCTGAGAGGAAGATGTTTCTAATTGGTATTTATCTAATCACAAGGCCTCCCTTAAGTCTGGCCAGACTAACTACTGCCCCACTCAGTCCCTGCTTGTGGAGGAGGAGATTGTGTGCTGACCATGATTGTACAAGATGCATGTGGTATTCAGGTTATTTTGTCCTGTAACATTTGATGTGTGCATGTTTTTTTTTTTCGGTCACTGACATTCTCATTTGTTTATTTCTCCTCCTCTTCTTTATCTTTGTTCTCCATGCAGCTGTTTTGAAGGTAAGCGTCTGAAATCCAAATGTTGTCTTTTCTTAAACCTTGATAAGCTTCTTCATTCTGTTGTAGCAAAGTAGTTTATGTATGTCAGTGTGCTGTGGTGAGATATGGTTTACCCAATTTTGACTCAGCAGTTCAAACTTTCTATTCTAATTGCAAAAGAAGTTCAAGCAAAACTGAGAAAGTGCAAACTCAGACTGCACAGAACATACTTTGACTTTCTGGATTACTTAAATCATATCTCACCCAAAGCTAAAGCAGCTTCATGAATAGTCCATCCCATTTACAGCCTTTGAATCACAAACATGGCTCTAGCACTGGCCTTGCAATAACAAACCACATGTCTATGACTTCACGCTACAGCATGCAGACAGTGAGGGTGCACTGCTGGGGGATAGGTGCTCCCTTCAGCCAGCCACTAGTGTCAGTACGCTGGCCTCCAGTCTCAGCGAGCCCCAGGCTGAGAGGCCATGTGTGGACGATCTAATTCCCAGAAGGGACTCTCTGGAGCAGCTAAGTCCTACTGACAGTGACCCGAAACTGGGCCTTTCACCCAGTCAGGGGGGGCTGGAGCTGGACAAGGCAGAGGAGGCAAAGGAGGAGGAGGGGGAGGAGAGTTACAAGGAAGATATACTGATGGGAGACGACCAGGTAGAGGACTTTGCCAGCTCAGTGCTGGCAGCCATCTCCTGCTGGCACTATAGAGCCAGGGCTTTGCTTTCTACTCACTTCACAACGGTGAGGGTTTCTGCCACCCACGGGTTACCCATTTCCTCCCCCATTCCGCCGGCTTGCCAATACTCTCTGCCACTCTTTCTCCCACGCTGACTGTCCTCCCTCTTCCTTTCTTTTTACTTCATAAACAGAACCAACTAACACCTGCTGCCATTTGCACAGTGCATGTTGAATGCCTCAGGTCGAATTGATATTGAAGTGCATGGACTGAAGTTCTCCCAGTCTACTAACAGTGTCCTCTAAGAATGTATGGGTGCAACTTAAAAGTCCAACTTGGTGCATGTCTTTGCTTGTATTGTTTTTGCTTTAGAGTTAAAGGTCATCCCCCTGTGCACGCACTCTACTCCTGTGACTGTTCGTTTCACTCATCTGTGTGGTTCCAGTAATCATGCGCTGTGTTTCATTATTGTGTTTTTGGGGCATGATTGATGTTGAAACCATGCCTGCATTTGCATTAGAACCAGTGGCTCAATGTGCCCTGTTAAATGTTATTTCACTTCAAAGGTTAATGCAGCCATCTAATGAAATGATTATTATAATAGCAAGAGCTTTGCTCTTTGATAATCATATTTTCTAATCATATTTCCCCTCTGAATTTTCATAATTAGGAAGTCTTTGTTAAGTTAATTGTTATACCAGTATTGTTGCTGAATATGTATTAATACATGTCATTTCAATAGGAAGACTTTCTTTGTAACCATTTTAGTGGGCGTTTCAAGGGTAACCTGAATTCACATTAAGTGTCTCGGAGATGTTTGTCCACTATGACAGATTTTTCTGCCTTACGCTGCCTCACAGTGTGACCTCTGTAGGAGGATTTACAGTTAAAACTCTCACTTTAATGCTGTGTTTTGTTCTTTCAGGATGATCAGAACACAGATACAGCGGCTGAAGTGAAAACTACACTAAGTGAGGAGGCAGAAACTCACAGGCAAGAGGAACAATATGTGGCTGTGGCTGTGAAAGAAGCTCTCACTACACAGGTAGTTAATAAAGCCTTGCATAATGTTTGTGCACACATCCATTAAGCCTCATTTCCGCACGTGACTCTGAGGTCACATTTGATATGTATCCACTCTGTCGAAGAATGCCCATCTATCCTCACACCCTTAGTACTGCTTAGTTTGTTGCTGAGCATATTTTCTAACCACTGTATATTTTGGATGACACTCTTTCAGTGTAGTTGCAGCTGTTGTTATTTTCTATTTGCTTATTTGTATCATGCCTGGAGCTATATTAGTGCCCGCTGTATATTTGTATTCATGTAAATTAAAATGCCGCACACACACGCACATACACACACTGTTGCCCTGGAGTCAGCACTCCCACTGAGGAAGGCAACATTTGATTTGGAGGCCAGGTGCTGTTCTCACCTGATTCTCACGGTAACTTTGTGAAACAGCTCCTGCATCTGAGTATAGGTTGTTATTCTTCCTAAGCTTATCTCCACCACACAGCTCTGAGCTGCACTTTCTTGCAGTTGCAGGCGCTCCAAAAGAGCAGGCAACACCTGGAAACAAATTTACATTAGTGGCAGACGAGGGCAACATCAGCAGTGTGAACACTGTTAGAGCTGCAGACATCACCGTGTTCACTGTTAAACCCTCCCAACATCTCTTAACCAAAATGTGCAAAAAGGAGTCTTTAACAACCAAGGCTGCGAGTGCAATCACAGCTTCTTTGCAAATTTTCCATACTTAGATATTGTACATAAAAATAGGTCAGTGTGATAAAGCCGAAGTCGGCCTCAAAAGATAAAACATGCATCATAAATTGTGGATGCTTTAGATTAAAGTGCCTAGTTGACTTTGAAAAGGTCCATTAACTTAATGGGGAATGGAGAATGCTTGCCATCATAATGTCTTTTACTCATTGCATTCCACATTACAAACAATGCTATCATGTTTCAGGTCAATGTGGAGGAGCTGTGCCCTCTAGACTGTGTCTCTCAAGCAAAGAAAAGCGATCAGCTGGAGTTGCATTACTCCCAATGTCCTGAGTCTCCTGTCTCCCCTGCCCAACAAGACGCTGACACCCTAGAACCTCAGGATACTTCTAAAGAAACTGGAGAGGAAGAAGAAGCAGGGAGTGATTCCTCCGGTCTCCAAGTGGAGGAGACGAGTGTGTTGACGAATGGAGAGCTCTCAGAGGAGGAAGAGGATGTGTTGGAGCATAAAAGCATCCTACCTTCGTCTGTGTTGGACCAGGCCAGTGTGATAGCTGAGCGCTTCATCAGCAGCTTGTCCAGACGGAGCAGTCTGGTTTCAGAGGACCTGGGTTCCCTCGCCTGCCCCTCACCTTCAACAGATAACGACCTCTTCAAAAGCCCCTCGGCCTGCATGGACTTGGAGAAACAGACACAAATGTTGGCCAGCTCTACCCCAGAGCCTCAGGAGACCTCAGAGGCCAATCTGTCAACACCTGCACACGAACCTGCGCTGGACGCTCTCATCGAAGGAGAACGCAGGTCCACTCTCTCCAAACAAGATCGCCTCCTCATCCACAAGATCAGGAGATACTACGAGCATGCTGAGCACCAGGATGCTAACTTCAGCATTAAGCGCAGGGAAAGTCTCTCCTATATCCCAGCAGGTCTGGTCAGGTACCTGAGCAGACAGCTGAACAGTGTCCCTCAGGAGCAGGCGGCCCCAGTCCACAGGAAAGGCCTCTCTCGGAACCGCCCCACTTCCTGGTCTGTGTTTGACCTTCCTGGATTAGAAAAGAGTCGAAACACTGAAACTCGTCAGAAAAGTGAACCGCAGAGAGCAAAGGAAGCCAAGACCAGATCTCAGAGCTTTTCTGAAGCCTTGACCACAGAAGAAGAATTCAGACCTTCATCAGACATGCTCAAGGTTTGGCAAGACATGGAGATGGAGGAGGAGAGCCAGGAAGTCCAGGAGATTGAAGAGGAGGAAGTTGATGACTCAAGATTAGAGGCAACACAGGGCAACGGCTTAGATGTTAAAACCAGCAAACAATCACCTCAGATTTTAGAGGAGTCTGAAATAAGCACTGCCTCAGATAGCTCCTCCATCTCATCACCCAACACATCCTCTCCAGCAGTAGAGGGAGGATCTGGAGAGGACCCTGAGCCAAGTAATGCCACTATGTCACAAGAGAAGAACCATGTCAACCACGACCAGCTACCTAAGCTCATTAGCCTCCGAACGAGTGTGGACGAGGACCAGATCCTGCAAGACATGGGAAAGATGAAAAATAAGGTGTTCCAGCTGGCTCGTCAGTACAGCCAGCGCATCAAAAATAACAGACCTATTGTCTGGCAGAGGAACCGAGAAACTGCAAATCAACAGGGCTCCAAGAACCTGCCTGCTGTCCATGAGGAGAGGATGCAGCTGAGGAAAAAGGGTAAATAGGAAGCAATTGTCGACTTGCTTTCTCTTACAGTAACCTACCGCTTGAACTCGTGTATGGATAAAACTGAAAAGCGTTCTCTGTTTTTCTGTTTTTTGTGTATATATATGCAGGTAAACCCAGCGTGAGATTGCCCTTAATCGCTTGTGATGAGATGGTCATCCATGAAGTGCGTTCTCCAAGCCCAGTCCGGACCCCCAGCTCTGGTGCCAGCTCCCAGAGCACAGTCACTTGCCCACAAAGCCCACAGTCAGAGACCTTCTACTGGCCCGACATGCAGGAGCTGCGCTCCAAATACATAGGGCCCTCCCACTTCTCCAAAGTAACCCGGAGCTGCACAACCGGGATGTTAGAGTGCTGTGCGAACATGTATAATGGCTGCTCACACAAGTGCAATAGCTCCTTAGACCTTCACAAAGCTCTGACAGACTGTCCTAGGACACAGTCTGCAGTAGAGGACTGGTCCCAGCCCCAGCCCCGGTTTCAGCCCCTGCTGTGCAGATGGAGCTCCTTGGACCACATGCTCGGGTCTCTTCCCCTCAATGAAGTACAGAACCTTCAGGAACCTGTGAGGACCTGCTACACAGCGGGCAAACTCCACGATGGGGACATCCTCTCCCAGGATGATCTAGACTGTGCAGCAAATTCTGCTGTCGGGAGTTCAGGGAAGACGTCTGAAAGTAATCTAGTGAAAAGCTTACGGGAGAAGTTCCAGAGCTTAAGCACGAGCTCGTAAAACATGTGAATTATGTACATTTCTATTATCAGGAACTATCATGTGGAAACATTATCTGCCAATTATCTGATGCTTCTCAACGTCCCTTTTTCCTCTTTTCTCCTCTAAAAGAATGCAAATTATTGTCTGCACAATGTTTTTAATACGGGGGACATTTGGTGATTATTTGTTTTGTTACTACAAGTTTAACATGAAAGGGATATTATTGGTTATTGATTAGGGTAATGAGGGGAAAGCATATTGTCTTTAAAAAGGTGTGTTGCATTATTTGTACATTGGGTATTTGTCTGCACTGTACAATACAAAGTTTATGTAAAATGTGTATATAGTCCCTTGTATCAATAGGTCCTACTTTATTATTACATGCATCTATTTGGGTCCCACCCACTGTTGAGGTTCTTGCTATAATCACTATAGCACTGCTTTAACCATGTTAACTGTCAACTGTATTTCCAGGGAGCAAAAAGGAGCTAAGCAAACCCACACTGATCTTTTATCCACATGAATACTGCCGTCTCATTGACGAGGGAGCTCTGCTGTCAGCAGAGTCTCTGACCGAACACCAAAGAGAGTTTCCTTTTAACATTTGTCGACTTTTATTGCATGTGGTCACAGCAGTAACTTGCTTCCACGTTTACTGTAGCTGCTTCTAAAACTGTTTTCACATATTGTATCACAGGAGCTTTATTTTTCTCAACATGTTGTTTATTTTCTTGAATATTATTTATGAAACTGTACATTTGGGAGAGATTTGCCTCATGTAAATACTGAACAGTAGCAACCCTTTTTACTTCTCAGTTCCAGAAAATATATTGTTTCATACTTGAAGTTTCCCATATTTTCAATAAAAACAGAAATGGTAAGTGTCCATTGGTGCTGTCTTTACCGTCATTCTGAATAGCTAATACTAATGTCCATTTGTACTGTGGCTGAGGGCTGAAAGTGAGGCTGTCTAGTTAGTTCTATAACTTCCATCATCAACTGGTTAAATGTTTCCATATTTATATAAAGCTGCGACATCAACTAAAACAAGATTAAAGGAGAGTCAGTGTTGCATTGCTGTGTCCTCTACATAACGTGGAAGGAATGTGTCTTGTTGATGTGATTCTTTATTCCCAAATGACGAGAGAAGAGACGAGAAAAGCTGCAAGCCCCGGTCGACTCAAGGAGAGACGAAACAAAATGATAAGCAGTGAAACTAAAACATTAGAAGTTATTAATAATATTCCTACAAAATAGAATACATTTCATCAATGGGACAAAATTGAAAAAGTTCCAAAAACAGTATGTATTTTGTCAAATGTGCAAGGCCAGTTTGCTGCAAATGGAAGTGTTACCACTTCAATACCTATGCAGATATTGGGCTTTAATAATATAGGGGTAATTTAATCTGAATTTGCTATCTGAAGCAGGCTGTGAACAGCTAGTGGCGATATTATTATAAGTTGGGCGCATGTGTGTGTGTTTTTATCAATTTGCGTTGGATATCTTTCATATAAAATGACAGCACAGCCCATCCTTTGTGCCTCAGGTTACCAAACTGAATCACCTTTGCTTTCAAAAGCTGCGTCAAGTCAGCCAGAAACGTACAGGCATACACCGGAAGTCAAGCGGGAAGCCCTTCAATATAAAAGCTTAATACTTGCTCAATGCTTGTTGCAAAATGTGCTCATTAAAGAGGGGTTTTAGTCTGAACCAACGACCAGAACCTGCATCCTGCCTGTATGTTTGCTGACTGGACGCTGATTCGTACTCACCGGAGGAGAGTAGTTACAAGACGCAATTGGAGTCGCGCACTTAAACCAGATGCCAGCAACCTCAGATTTTCTTTGGCACAAGATCAATTAACCCTCCTTTTTTCTTCCTGGATTGGAACAACAACAAAAAAAATCGTCTCATTTGTTTATTTTTTTTTTCTAAAGAATGGGCTGCGCAATATCAGGTCTGGCGGCAAAAGCGGAGTTTGGAGAGAGGAATACAGAGGATGCTGCCGCTGCTACGCATCCCAGCGAGGATCAGATTCAGATGATCAAGGAGTCATGGAAAGTTATCCGGGATGATATAGCTAAAGTTGGGATTATTATGTTCGTCAGGTAAGATGCTCGAACCTCTTCTGTACTTTTCCAGTGTTCGTTGCATGTCATGTGACTAAATATTTAAGAAAATATGATGCTATAGGATCAGGAATGTTATAGCAACAGTACATTTCCACTAAGTAGCTTATCATCAGGTGACAGAGTGGCCTTTATACGCACTGATTCTCTGTAGACATTTTTATATGTTTTAAGTATTGTGTAATATTTTGCATCCAAAGGAAACCCAGGATACTTTTTTTTTCCAATAGCACACACAACTTTTCTATATCATCAGTATTTAAATGTCCTCTACTCTTGATCAGGACATTCAGCAAAAGGAGCAAAACTATTGACTTTTCAGTTTAACCTCATCAGAGTGCTTAGTGAAACCTCTGCACTGTGATCTGACCTGCTGGACCTGAGACAAAGTGGTCTGCTGAAGGTCTTGCAGATCCGATGTGACGTTGACATGGTGCCTGACTTTATAATCCAAACCAGGAACTGATCACGCAGCATCCCTCCACCTCCACCACGTCCCTGTGCCCTGCCTTCTGACCCTCAGCTTTTCATTGAAAGCTTGGGGCAGAATACCCCTCCTCCTCTCTTATCACTTCATATCACATCTTAACAACATTACATAATAACACACAGCTCCAGGTCTGCCATCCCACTGTACAATTAAAGGCATTAGCCATCAGGGAAATGCATTTTGTCAATTATGATGATGACCAGCCTCCGGGTAAACGTATTTGGTCCTTTGGCTGGGAAATAAAACAAATGAAAGAATGTGGTGATAAAGACTGGCAGACATTCAGGCTGCTGCTGCTGCTGCTGCTGCTGCTGCTGCTGCTGCTGCTGCTGCTGCTGCTGCTGGATCTACAGGAAAGAGACTACCGGGCACAGAGTATAGCTTTAAGCCCAAATAATGCCATGTGTCCCTGGGGTGACCCGAACTGTTGAAGGGATTGACCTTAGCGTGTTAGCCTGAAAATACGTAGGCCTCTTGTGGGTCAGGGCCACCCCAGGGCCCCCAGGCTGTCAGAGCTTGTATCCCATGACAGTAATTGTGACAGTACGGGAATCACCTGTTTTTCACTGTGTTTATTCTTTGGCAAGGGGATTGCCAAATCCATGTAAAATAAGATACTTCAAAGACTCTATTCATGAGTGCCAAATATATCCTCTGAACAGCACCAATTAAAATTCCACTTGAGCTATATAGGGTGCTACATTGTCTGCTTATGTTATGCATGCCTGCATGTGCGCCCATGTCGGCAAGAGGTACACACAGTGGAGCAAAATATCCAGCTCCCTACATGTTTGCTGCGGCGTTGACAGTGGTGGAGATGTGGGTAAAAAAAAGAGCAGCCAATTTCCCCCTTTTCTCTCATCAATGACACTGGTGAGCGGGGCGTGTGAATAGTGAGAAAGCAAATTTCGCAGCCATTTCACTCCCGATAAATCACAAGTCACAGCTTCTCTGGTGCCACCCCACCCCCCCCAAAAAAGAGGCCAATTACACATGGTGTGCAAACATTGTAGTGCTGCTGGTTGAGTTTATGTCATTCAATCAAGCATAACTTAAGAATTATTTTAAATAAATAGACCCTGGATGTTTGTCTTTGTGAGAAGGTTAAGTTAATGAAGCACAGAACCACAAACAGGTACCAGCTGTATCACAGTAAAATACTTTAAAAGCTAAACTGTGGAGTTACACCGAACAGATAGTCATGAGAATCATTTATTATGTAACAGACATATGAAAACATATGTGTCTTAGTCAGGGGACTGGATGTCAGACACGGTCTCACATTTTGTCTTCAGCCAGAGCTTGTTGGCCGTGTCAGTATATTGCGTTTCAATAGACCTCGCTGCATCATCATCTTCTTGTCAAAGGGCGCAGAGCCACTGATGTTTTTCACAGCAGCCATTAGACAGACATCCCTTCTCTAACACCTCTCCCAACACCTCTATTCATACATCTCTCTATCTTCCAAGGGGGCCACATGTTGTAGACATCTAATGCATTTATTCATCAAGACTTTGTTTTGGATTTCAGGCGTTTTCCTCTCACAAGCAACTGCTGCAGAGCATGGGGAAAAAACAACAATGGAAAATAGAATAAGCTTCTGTTTGACCTGCCACACCCAGTGTTGAAAATTATAATTTATTATTTACGCCTAGCTCAGCGTTACAGTTCAGCATCACAGATGTTCAGGTCAGATTGTCTGTGCTGGATTATAATTTTGACATACATATACAGTGCATTCAGAAAGTATTCAGACCCCTTCACTTGTTTCACATTTTGTTATGTTTCAGGTTTATGCCTTAATCATTAAAATTCATCAATCTACACTCGATGTTGTACACTTAATGCCCCATGATGATAAAGCCAAAACTGAATTTTAAAAGAAATTGTTGCAAATGTATTAAAAAGGAAAGAGTGAAATATCACATTGACATAAGTATTCAGACATTTTGCTATGACACTAGAAATTTAGCTCAGGTGTCTCCCATTTCTATTGATCATGTTTGAGATGTTTCTACAGGTGTGGTAAATTCAGTTGATTGGACATGATTTGGAAAGACACACAGCTGTCTATATAAGATCTCACAGCTGACAATGCATATGAGAGCAAAAACCAAGCCATGAGGAGGGAGGAACTGCCTGCAGAGCTCAGCGACAGGACTGTGTTGAGGCACAGATCTGGGGAAGGCTACAAAAAAATGTCTCCTGCAATGAAGGTTCCCAAGAGCACAGTGGCCTCCATAATTCTTACATGGAAGAAATTTGGAACAAACAGGACTCTTCCTGCAGCTGGCTGCCTGGCCAAACTGAGCAATTGTTGGAGAAGAGCCTTGGTAAGAGAGGTGACCAAGAACCCGATGGTCAGAAGCACAACCATCAGTGGAGCACTGCACTGTGGCTGGACTGAAGCCCCTGAGTGAGAAACACATGAAAGCCACTTGGAGTTCGCAAAAAAGCACCTAAAGGACTCTCACTCTATGAAAAACAAAGTTCTCTGGTTTGATCAAACCAAGATCGAACTGTTTGGCCTTGATTCAAAATGTCATGTCTGGAGGAAACCAGTCATTGCTCATCGACTGTCCAATAAAACATCTCTGGATAAACCTGAAAATGGCTGTCCACTGTCGATCCTCATCCAACCTGACAGAGCCTGAGAGGATCTGCAGAGAGGACTGGTAGAAAATCCCCAAGTCCATGTGTGCAAAGCTTGTCGTGTCACACCCAACACTTGAGGCTGTAATCACTGCCAAAGGTACTTCAACGAAGTACTGAGTAAAGTGTCTGAATACTTATGTAAATGTGATATTTCAGTTATTCCTTTTTAATAAATTTCACTTTGTCATTATGAGCTATTGGTAGATGAGGGGAAAAATGAATTAAAATGATTTTAGCATGAGGCTGCAACATAACAAAATGTGTTTATATAGATTTTACATCAGGTCTAGTATTTTACACAATAACAATCAGTAGCTGCTCTCAGCTCAAGTTCCTGTTTACATTAGGAAGCTACATGCTCATGTTTTCACATTAAAACCTCTGATACTCTCATAATCCTTGCATCTCAGTCTGAGCTCAATACAACTCGCATCCAGAGGAGGTAGCTGTATATTCTGGTAGCATGACTAATCACCAGTACCTCAGCTGGAGACTGGGAGGCTCTTTGATTGGATGGCAGCATGTTTAAACTCTCTGGTTAGGGAAATTGATTGAGGTTAAATCAGAAAAGGAAAACTGTAGTAGAGGCGGTTGCTCCATTTAACTGAGCCTCTGCCCCGGCTCCGACAGAGCAAGGCTTCTCATCACAGCTGCGGGTGGAAATGAGGGTATGGATTGCCTTGCTAATACACTCTCTCACTACATCTACCATAGGCTGTTACTGATTGCATCTGTTGGGTGTAAAGAACCAGAGTGGAGGACAGTGATAAAAAGAATCAGAATAAGATCAGAGAGGCACAATCAGATCTCTATTCAAAGTGTGGGGTGGAGAGAAAGGCTGCAGGATGAGAGAGAAACCTCTAATAGCAATGTTAATGAGCTGAAATTTGCACATTCACACTCAGCACTGTGAATGCAGGATTACAGTTGTGTGAGTGGCCACGCTGAAACTCTTGGGGTTATGTCTTCTTTAGTTGGGAAACTCAGGGAGGTTTGTTTTGGTGTGGGAATGGATATGACAGGCTGCTCTTCATGATGCTCACGGATGGCTGCATGTGCTGTTGTTCTCTTGGTAACAGGTTGTTTGAGACCCATCCAGAGTGCAAGGATGTTTTCTTCCTGTTTCGAGATGTCGAGGACCTAGAGAGGTTGAGGACCAGCCGGGAACTCAGGGCACACGGCTTACGGTCGGTCAGCAGCTCTGCATTTCACAACACAACACCATTGCAAATCAGTCAATGAAAGCATAGAATTCAGCATGGTATACACTGCATGGGCAAGAGAGCATATCAATATCCACCAACCTCTAGTCTAGTTTACACTAAAAGGTCAAAGCATAGCAGTCACTCATTGGCCTCTGTCACAGTGGTGACCATCCCAGCTGCTATGCAAACATTTTTTAAAGGACAAGGCTGATATTAGTTTTCATATTGTCACAAATCCTATAAAAAGACCAGAACACAACAATGGTTTAATCAATATCTGAATAGTCTCTGACTTTGCTATTGTGTCTGAGGCACTCACTTTCAGGGAATATTTAAAAACAGCTCACATACATATATATATATATATATATATATATATATAGTCTAATTTTAAACAGCTGGGCACTTTAGTTTTTACCAGATATTACTGAAACAGGTGCAAACCGTTTATTTGTTGAGGATTACTTTCAGCTGCGAATTAATACACAGTTGCTGTTCTTGTGCAGTGATTCCCAAGCTTGTTTGTAAGATGTAACCTCACAGCCCAATCACGTGAGGCCAAGAACTCCTTCATGAACACCACCTGTCCTAATCCAGATGTGTTCATTTGACCTTATTAATTATATAAAAGAAGGAATTGTTAAAGGTGGACACTTCAACCCTGTGTCTTACTGGTTTTTACCAAAACATAATTTCTTTGTATTTTTTAATTGGCAGACCCACTCCACAGATTTCCCAGGTACCCCCTGGGTTGTACTGCTGTTTGGGAATCAATGCTCGAGTGAGTATTTATGGCAGCAGGAGTGCACATGGAGTTGACTCAAGATGAATTACAGTGTCCATGTCTCTGGTAATGAAGGAACGTGTCAGCCATGTTTTTACTAGTTCTTGGACAACGATGGTGCTCTGTGGCACAAAAGAATATGCAGTTTTCAGTACAGTTTTCTTCAGGCAGCACCTTTTATCTAAGTGGAACAATGATATGATAAAACCATGTTGCACATGGTGTGGCTCAATATCAGGGATGTGTTATAAAAGTAGTGGCAGATCAAACACCTCATGTAGTCATATCATTATAGCCTTACTTACCACTCTGCTGCAGACAGAGCTCGTAGCATGTATCACAGCCACTTGTCTGTTGTTTCCGAGTGTGTGTCAGGCCTCTCTGTGTTCCTCTACACATGAGGCCACAGCAGCCATTTACTGCCTGAGGACCTGAAGGTACAGAGGCTAGCGTGGCATTGCAGCAGGAACACGCTGACAAAACGTGTTACACGTTCCAGCGTAAACCGGCTGCTCTCAAATTCAGTGATAAGGCCAAATGGCCCTTCAGCCGCACTCAGGGACATTAGTACAAATGTCCACGGTGGCAGCGAGACAGAGAGAAGAGAGAGCTAAACCAACTCTAACCCTTTGTTCCATATTCATCTTCAAAACTGTCACGCACACGCTCTGCAGTGGAGACAGACACACCTGGAAAGCAACAAAGGAAATTGATCCTGTGGTGTGCAGGGAAAAAAATGTTTTCATGTGGGGAAAAGTATTGTGCAATCAGTTGGTTTTGCAAGTGAGAGTCAGATTGATAGATATGTAATCAATTAAATTTTTTTTCTTGCCATTTGAGTTTGTGAGACTGCAAATGTCACCATGCAGCCTTTCAACACAGAGGAGTGTCAGACTTATCTATAGCTGAGGTATATCAGCTCATAGTTGCCTGCTGCTAATTCACGATTAACTGGTGGATCAATCAGGCCTGGTGGCTCTTTCTGAGCCTTTTTTTTTTAAATTCTGTCTCTTTCAGGGTGATGTCTTTCATCGAGAAAAGCGTGGCTAGACTAGACCAGCTGGAGAGACTGGATGCTCTGGCTCTGGAGCTGGGGAAAAGCCATTATCATTACAACGCCCCACCTAAGTACTACAGCGTAAGACCCTGATGATCCCTACAGTGCTGAACATGCTCTGTTTTTGTCATGTTGCTTTGTTTATAGAGTACACATATTCTAATTTCCACTGATACTGTAGCTCTCTATTAGACTCATCATTATACTGAGACCCCTAAAACCTCAGCAGCTGAATGAATTGACACACTCCCAGAAATGCAAAATGGAAACACCTACTCTTTCAAATAACAATAACAGCAATGGAGTGACACGCCAACTGGATACTAGCCGAGTTACGAGGGCACAATGTCATCAAGTGTCTCCCATAATTATTTTCCAGTATGTTGGAGCAGAATTCATCTGTGCCGTGCAGCCCATCCTGAAGGAGAGGTGGACAGCTGAGCTGGAGGAAGCATGGAAGGTAAGTAGTTGTCACTGTGTGACCTGTGTCTCCTTATGAGGGTGTGTTAATCAGAGACATTTGCAGCAACCCATTCTGGGTAAATGCCTTGTGAAATAGGCTTGATGTGTGCAACCAGCACATCAGCAGCGACAGCTTGTGTCCGACTCGCATCAGTGTCAAGAGTTGTGCACATCTTTTTAATGCACCATGTAACATGTCAAGAAAGAAACCAGTGCTGCACAAGCTTGACTGATGTGAAAATGTACATCTCACTGAACCATACATGAGCATATTGAGAAAATAGAACATGGCTCTGTCACTTCATGTTATGTCACTCCAAGATCCAAGGGCGTAGGTTTGGTCTCAACATTGGTAGGGACGCAACAACCCCACCATCCCCCCAAAACAAAGGGATTGGCTTTTTAGATTAGAATTTGCATTCAGGAATGCCAATACGCAATTGTAATATATGTACATGTGTTGATTTTCCATATATGAAATATATGTACAAATGAAGTAAAATCATATATGTATTTAAAGTATAGCCTATATGTGTAAAAATTTAGAGAACAGAATTTTAAATGTCAAAACACTTCATAGTATAGTGAGGCAAAAAAATGTCATAGTATAGTAAGGCAAAAAAATGTCATAGTATAGTAAGGCATAAAACATCAAAAATTTAATAGTATACTATGGCATAAAATGTCACAAAAACGTCATAGTATAGTAAGGCATAAAAAGGCCATAGTATAGAAAGGAATAAAAAGTCATAAACGTTATATCTATTCAGTCATTCAATCTTTATTAGGGACACAGATCAATAAACAACATAAAAAAAACCCATGAAATCAACTCCAAACAAAAGACAATCCACAATAGACAGACATCTGCATAAAGGCCTCAACGCCAGTGGTTCTACAATCTTGATGAGAACCTAACGGAGCTGAGTTCAGGGTTGGTTAAGGCCGAAATAATACCACAGTATACTAAGGCATAAAAAACGTCATAGTAAAGAAAGACATAAAACATCAAAAAATGCCATATTATAGTAATGCAATGCATAGTATAGTAGGGCAAAAAACATCATAAAAATGTGATAGTATAGTAAGGCATTAAACGTCAAATAACATCATAGTATATTAAAGCATAAAAATGTCAAAACACCTCATAGTATAGTGAGGCAAAAAATGTCATAGTATAGTAAGGCATAAAACGTCAAAAAACGAAATACAGCATAAAATGTCATGAAAATGTCATAGTATAGTAAGCCATAAAAATTTCATGAACACATCATTGTATAATAAGGCAAAAAATGTCATAAAAACGTCAATGAACGTTACAGTATAGTTAGGCATAAAACATCAAAATATGTAATAGTATACTACGGCATGAAATGTCACAAAAACATCATAGTATATTAAGTCATAAAACATCATAAAAATGTCATAGTATATTAAGGCATAAAAATTTCAAAACATTTGATAGTATAGTGAGGCAAAAAAATGTCATAGTATAAGGCAAAAAATTGTCATAGTATAGTAAGGCATAAAACATCAAAAATGTAATAGAATACTATGGCATAAAATGTCACAAAAACATCATAGTATATTAAGTCATAAAACATCATAAAAATGTCATAGTATATTAAGGCATAAAAATTTCAAAACACTTCATAGTATAGTGAGGCAAAAAAATGTCATAGTATAGCAAGGCAAAAAAATGTCATAGTATACTATGGCATAAAATGTCACAAAAACGTCATAGTATACTAAGGCATAAAATGTCAAAAAAACGTCATAGTATAGTAATGCATAAAAATGTCAAAAAACGTCATAGTATACTAAGGCATAAAAATGTCAAAAAACGTCATAGTATACTAAGGCATAAAAATGTCAAAAAACGTCATAGTATACTAAGGCATAAAAATGTCAAAAAACGTCATAGTATACTAAGGCATAAAAATGTCAAAAAACGTCATAGTATACTAAGGCATAAAAATGTCAAAAAACGTCATAGTATACTAAGGCATAAAAATGTCAAAAAACGTCATAGTATACTAAGGCATAAAAATGTCAAAAAACGTCATAGTATACTAAGGCATAAAAATGTCAAAAAACGTCATAGTATACTAAGGCATAAAAATGTCAAAAAACGTCATAGTATACTAAGGCATAAAAATGTCAAAAAACGTCATAGTATACTAAGGCATAAAAATGTCAAAAAACGTCATAGTATACTAAGGCATAAAAATGTCAAAAAACGTCATAGTATACTAAGGCATAAAAATGTCAAAAAACGTCATAGTATACTAAGGCATAAAAATGTCAAAAAACGTCATAGTATACTAAGGCATAAAAATGTCAAAAAACGTCATAGTATACTAAGGCATAAAAATGTCAAAAAACGTCATAGTATACTAAGGCATAAAAATGTCAAAAAACGTCATAGTATACTAAGGCATAAAAATGTCAAAAAACGTCATAGTATACTAAGGCATAAAAATGTCAAAAAACGTCATAGTATACTAAGGCATAAAAATGTCAAAAAACGTCATAGTATACTAAGGCATAAAAATGTCAAAAAACGTCATAGTATACTAAGGCATAAAAATGTCAAAAAACGTCATAGTATACTAAGGCATAAAAATGTCAAAAAACGTCATAGTATACTAAGGCATAAAAATGTCAAAAAACGTCATAGTATACTAAGGCATAAAAATGTCAAAAAACGTCATAGTATACTAAGGCATAAAAATGTCAAAAAACGTCATAGTATACTAAGGCATAAAAATGTCAAAAAACGTCATAGTATACTAAGGCATAAAAATGTCAAAAAACGTCATAGTATACTAAGGCATAAAAATGTCAAAAAACGTCATAGTATACTAAGGCATAAAAATGTCAAAAAACGTCATAGTATACTAAGGCATAAAAATGTCAAAAAACGTCATAGTATACTAAGGCATAAAAATGTCAAAAAACGTCATAGTATACTAAGGCATAAAAATGTCAAAAAACGTCATAGTATACTAAGGCATAAAAATGTCAAAAAACGTCATAGTATACTAAGGCATAAAAATGTCAAAAAACGTCATAGTATACTAAGGCATAAAAATGTCAAAAAACGTCATAGTATACTAAGGCATAAAAATGTCAAAAAACGTCATAGTATACTAAGGCATAAAAATGTCAAAAAACGTCATAGTATACTAAGGCATAAAAATGTCAAAAAACGTCATAGTATACTAAGGCATAAAAATGTCAAAAAACGTCATAGTATACTAAGGCATAAAAATGTCAAAAAACGTCATAGTATACTAAGGCATAAAAATGTCAAAAAACGTCATAGTATACTAAGGCATAAAAATGTCAAAAAACGTCATAGTATACTAAGGCATAAAAATGTCAAAAAACGTCATAGTATACTAAGGCATAAAAATGTCAAAAAACGTCATAGTATACTAAGGCATAAAAATGTCAAAAAACGTCATAGTATACTAAGGCATAAAAATGTCAAAAAACGTCATAGTATACTAAGGCATAAAAATGTCAAAAAACGTCATAGTATACTAAGGCATAAAAATGTCAAAAAACGTCATAGTATACTAAGGCATAAAAATGTCAAAAAACGTCATAGTATACTAAGGCATAAAAATGTCAAAAAACGTCATAGTATACTAAGGCATAAAAATGTCAAAAAACGTCATAGTATACTAAGGCATAAAAATGTCAAAAAACGTCATAGTATACTAAGGCATAAAAATGTCAAAAAACGTCATAGTATACTAAGGCATAAAAATGTCAAAAAACGTCATAGTATACTAAGGCATAAAAATGTCAAAAAACGTCATAGTATACTAAGGCATAAAAATGTCAAAAAACGTCATAGTATACTAAGGCATAAAAATGTCAAAAAACGTCATAGTATACTAAGGCATAAAAATGTCAAAAAACGTCATAGTATACTAAGGCATAAAAATGTCAAAAAACGTCATAGTATACTAAGGCATAAAAATGTCAAAAAACGTCATAGTATACTAAGGCATAAAAATGTCAAAAAACGTCATAGTATACTAAGGCATAAAAATGTCAAAAAACGTCATAGTATACTAAGGCATAAAAATGTCAAAAAACGTCATAGTATACTAAGGCATAAAAATGTCAAAAAACGTCATAGTATACTAAGGCATAAAAATGTCAAAAAACGTCATAGTATACTAAGGCATAAAAATGTCAAAAAACGTCATAGTATACTAAGGCATAAAAATGTCAAAAAACGTCATAGTATACTAAGGCATAAAAATGTCAAAAAACGTCATAGTATACTAAGGCATAAAAATGTCAAAAAACGTCATAGTATACTAAGGCATAAAAATGTCAAAAAACGTCATAGTATACTAAGGCATAAAAATGTCAAAAAACGTCATAGTATACTAAGGCATAAAAATGTCAAAAAACGTCATAGTATACTAAGGCATAAAAATGTCAAAAAACGTCATAGTATACTAAGGCATAAAAATGTCAAAAAACGTCATAGTATACTAAGGCATAAAAATGTCAAAAAACGTCATAGTATACTAAGGCATAAAAATGTCAAAAAACGTCATAGTATACTAAGGCATAAAAATGTCAAAAAACGTCATAGTATACTAAGGCATAAAAATGTCAAAAAACGTCATAGTATACTAAGGCATAAAAATGTCAAAAAACGTCATAGTATACTAAGGCATAAAAATGTCAAAAAACGTCATAGTATACTAAGGCATAAAAATGTCAAAAAACGTCATAGTATACTAAGGCATAAAAATGTCAAAAAACGTCATAGTATAGTAATGCATAAAAATGTCAAAAAAACGTCATAGTATGGTAAGTAATAAAAATGTCAAAAAACGTCATAGTATATTAAGGCATAAAAATGTCAAAAATCGTCATAGTATACTAAGGCATAATAACGTCAAAAAACGCCATAATATAGTAAGGCATAAAAATGTCAAAAAACGTCATAGTATACTAAGGCAT